TCATTATTATCAGATAGAATTTGCACATATGTTGTAGTAATAATTTCGCCATCACTATCAATAGACGCATTTAAATCGGAAGATGATGAAGATTTAGGTAAATAACTTTTATCTAGTAATGAATCGTCACTGTCATAGGGATCTTCGATACTGTCAGTATCAGATGAAAATTGAGTTGCTATCTGCTCGGTCTCCATATCGTGTTCATCACCCTGCTCATTCTCCATTTCGTGTTCTACTATTTATGTCTGTATTAACTCTTGTTCATTTTCAATATTAGAATTTTCATAACTTTCAATGAACCCTGTATTATCATTTAATTCATTTAACATAGTATTCGTTTCAGAGCTCTCTCCAAAGTTTTAACAATCACTAATTGTTTGCTCATTTGCAACTTCTATCATCTTTTGTTTCACTATGTCCACCATATATCTTGCCCTTTTCAACATTTTCACAAGTACTGCTCACACTTTAATGAATTCTAATAAACTGAATATACAGCGACAGGCACCGACAAGTTGAAACCTATTTGTTACACTTAAAACGATATACAAATACCATTTTTATCGCTACCGCACGATGCGGCGTTTTGACCAATTTTGCTACAGCACACTTGAAAAGTTACGCACATGCCCCTGGGGATACGTGACGCAGTCAAGATGTTAAATAAACAATGTCTCAATAAATTGGAAGCATTTGAATTATGGACATATCGAAGAATACTGAGAATCTCCTAGACAGATAGAATAACCAATGAAGAAGTATTAAGAAGAATAGAGAACAGCAGTGAGATACTAATTACATCACAATAAGCAAACTACAATATCAGGGTTATATAACACGTGGTGACAGATATGAATTCCTAACACTAATAATGCAGGGAAAGATTCAAGGAAAGCGCAGCATAGGTAGAAGAAGAATGTCCTGACTGAGAAACCTCAGAGAATGGTTTGGATGCAGGTCATCTGAACTCTTTTGGGCTGTAGTGTCAAAAGTTAGAATAGCAGTGATGATTGCCAACCTTCGTCGCAGACATGGTACTTAAAAAAGAACAAAAATGTTGATTAGCTCTTTTTGTAATGAACCGCGATTTTTAATGTCTTTTAATTTTTAGAGGTTCGGTGGCATTTAAGTACATAACTGGAGTACTGTTTTAACCAAACTTTGAATTATTGATATTTCGGTCCCTTTAACAGCATTCTCAAACATTTCACTCGATAATACCTTTTAAAACATTCAGTTACTCTTTGATCTAAAAGCTGAACTGAAGTAGTCATGTTTGTTGAGAAGAACTTAATTATTTCGTCGTCATTCAGATAATGAGGGCTATTGAAGTTATAGGGTTACAGAGTTATATATGAGGGCTACAGAGTCATACGCCATGTTACCTATCCAACGGTAACTTAAACATCACAAATTATAAATACTAATAATGTAAAACAACTTCAAATTTAACACATTTAAAGGGTTTTTACCCATATATTTTGGTGGCTACTAGCATGTACAACCGTTTGCACTGATGATGGATTGTTTAATCCGAAAACGTTTTGCAATGTGTTTGTGATAGCCCGTTTGGGTCATTTTTATATACCTTTTATAAAGGATTTTAAACAAAATTTTTTTGTGATATATGGTATACAGCCAGCTACAGGAACTTAGTTTCCTCGTGGAATTTTATTGAAGTTAGTTGTCGATTAATAACGCTACCTTCTTTGGAATTTTTTTTATTTCAAAAACGATTCAATATTGGGAACAAACTCATCAGTGTATTATTTAGCAAAATAAACTATAGGCCCCACCTATCCTTTCCAGAAACGTTAATACACAACATAGACGTCACTCTTCGATTTATTTACAATCCGCAAATATTTTTCAAAAAGTCTTTAAAATAAAAAAATATCAAAAAAACTTAACTTGTAAATATTTGATAGTGAGTGAGAATTTGTAAATATTTACAGGTTTACAGAACAAAACTTACAATATATATGCTGTTTATCACCTTACAATATATATGTGTGTTTCGAAACTATTTTACGATTGTTAAATTAGATGTCGCTAGTGCGTCCGTATTCGAAGCCATGTTATTGTTGCTTCTTAAAAGACAGGAAATATTGATCTTTCACGTTGAGAACACCTTTGAATAACTGTTCTGATGAGACCTATTAGGTCGAAATACGTATCAACAGATACAAAGGCGCTGTTTGCGTGAAATCAAATATTTGCTGTCTTTTTCACTTTTTTCGGATTTACTCTGTACGAGTACAAGAAACCAATTCGCTAAGGATTTCTGCTTAGTTGAAAAGATGTGTCGTGGAATGCAAATTTTAGATTCCCCACGTCTCTTTTAACACCTTTATCAACGTCTGTTTTGCTTTGCAATTTTTAGAAAGCACAGATAAAAGCAGAAATCTGAATTGTGTTTCGAAACTATTTTACGATTGTTAAATTAGATGTCGCTAGTGCGTCCGTATTCGAAGCCATGTTATTGTTGCTTCTTAAAAGACAGGAAATATTGATCTTTCACGTTGAGAACACCTTTGAATAACTGTTCTGATGAGACCTATTAGGTCGAAATACGTATCAACAGATACAAAGGCGCTGTTTGCGTGAAATCAAATATTTGCTGTCTTTTTCACTTTTTTCGGATTTACTCTGTACGAGTACAAGAAACCAATTCGCTAAGGATTTCTGCTTAGTTGAAAAGATGTGTCGTGGAATGCAAATTTTAGATTCCCCACGTCTCTTTTAACACCTTTATCAACGTCTGTTTTGCTTTGCAATTTTTAGAAAGCACAGATAAAAGCAGAAATCTGAATTGTGTTTCGAAACTATTTTACGATTGTTAAATTAGATGTCGCTAGTGCGTCCGTATTCGAAGCCATGTTATTGTTGCTTCTTAAAAGACAGGAAATATTGATCTTTCACGTTGAGAACACCTTTGAATAACTGTTCTGATGAGACCTATTAGGTCGAAATACGTATCAACAGATACAAAGGCGCTGTTTGCGTGAAATCAAATATTTGCTGTCTTTTTCACTTTTTTCGGATTTACTCTGTACGAGTACAAGAAACCAATTCGCTAAGGATTTCTGCTTAGTTGAAAAGATGTGTCGTGGAATGCAAATTTTAGATTCCCCACGTCTCTTTTAACACCTTTATCAACGTCTGTTTTGCTTTGCAATTTTTAGAAAGCACAGATAAAAGCAGAAATCTGAATTGTGTTTCGAAACTATTTTACGATTGTTAAATTAGATGTCGCTAGTGCGTCCGTATTCGAAGCCATGTTATTGTTGCTTCTTAAAAGACAGGAAATATTGATCTTTCACGTTAAGAACACCTTTGAATAACTGTTCTGATGAGACCTATTAGGTCGAAATACGTATCAACAGATACAAAGGCGCTGTTTGCGTGAAATCAAATATTTGCTGTCTTTTTCACTTTTTTCGGATTTACTCTGTACGAGTACAAGAAACCAATTCGCTAAGGATTTCTGCTTAGTTGAAAAGATGTGTCGTGGAATGCAAATTTTAGATTCCCCACGTCTCTTTTAACACCTTTATCAACGTCTGTTTTGCTTTGCAATTTTTAGAAAGCACAGATAAAAGCAGAAATCTGAATTGTGTTTCGAAACTATTTTACGATTGTTAAATTAGATGTCGCTAGTGCGTCCGTATTCGAAGCCATGTTATTGTTGCTTCTTAAAAGACAGGAAATATTGATCTTTCACGTTGAGAACACCTTTGAATAACTGTTCTGATGAGACCTATTAGGTCGAAATACGTATCAACAGATACAAAGGCGCTGTTTGCGTGAAATCAAATATTTGCTGTCTTTTTCACTTTTTTCGGATTTACTCTGTACGAGTACAAGAAACCAATTCGCTAAGGATTTCTGCTTAGTTGAAAAGATGTGTCGTGGAATGCAAATTTTAGATTCCCCACGTCTCTTTTAACACCTTTATCAACGTCTGTTTTGCTTTGCAATTTTTAGGAAGCACAGATAAAAGCAGAAATCTGAATTGTGTTTCGAAACTATTTTACGATTGTTGATTTAGTAAATGTTTATGCTCTTAAAAAACCTCAAAGATTACCTAAAAACCTGTATGCACGCAACTGATAAATAAATGTATGTGTACTGCTGGAATCTTTTAATTCCTGCTGGAGGGACAGATCATATAATCGTTGAGTCCTTCTGGCAGGACGTAAGCTCTGTCCAACTATTCTGCCGTAAGAGGCTTCTGGCAGGACAAACCACTGGACGTTCTATTAATAAGTTTATTTTCAAGTTAACGAAAAAATAAAAAGATGTAAAACCATTGTTCACCTGTTAGTAATGAGAATTTGTAAAAATTGTGTTTGCTTATTTCTCGCCTACTAGTAAGCGATATTATTGTTTTTATTGTCGTAAAAATATGTTGCTCACTGTCTTGCACTTGGATATACATTATTAAGCCATACGTAAGCCAGTGTAGGCAATTCATAAGGTATGTTTTTATTTTGTATATTTATGTTCTGAAAAAAGGATTAGTCTCAGTATTATTAACTGAAGAAACTTTCGTTATGACTAGTATTATTAGAGGCGTAGACAAAGTAATATGTGATAACTCATAACTACATCATTAGCGTTTTGTTTGTTGTATTAGACTAGAGTAAACTGAAAGTTCTGCTGGAAATGTTCTTACCTAACCATAGTTGGCTATTAAAAATCCGTTTATTGTACGATGAGTTACACATTGTAAATAAAGTACACTAGAAAATGAAAAACAACACTTAATGTTTTAATTCATAACACTCTAAAATATTTTTTTCGTCATAAATGAACCGCATACTTATGACATGATTTTTTCGCAATATCATAACAAAAATTTTCAGCTACGTAATAGATACAGTGTAATCTTATCAGGAAAATAAAAATGCAGTTTTAGTTAAGTGCCAGTAGTTGCTTTATTTACACTTATTTTGGGTTAAAAGAGTTTTTAATATACTTCTTATTTTTTACAGCTTCCTCCCAAGTGGTATTAACTGTGCAGCAAAGATCCAATATTCAAAGGAATATGGGATCTCCAGGTCATGTTCGACCGGTTACTACTCCTACGTCTTCGCGAATAACAGGACCTCAACCTGTTGATGTAAGTATTGAAAACACTGAATCTACACTGAGTTTTGATAAATTGTGTGCAGTTTTTTAGGGTCGCGCCGGTCGAAAACTTAAAGTACGGTCGTCTAAAGGTCAATTCAGACACATCAGTCCCGTCATAGTCTCGGCGCCGAACCGGTTCTGTTTGGTCACAGAACTATCAACTATCTGACAGCTGGGAAACTGTTTGTCAACTGATGAGTGGGAATGCCGGCAACATATTTGTATTAAAGAATATTTTGTATGACGGATTGTTCGGTTCGGCGCAATCACTGTGACGAGACGTGACTGATGTGTCTGAATCGACCTTAAACGTACATTTTCAATAAATTATGTGATTTTGTGTTATTTTTTGTCTTCAAACTTTGTTAACAATTAAAATATTAAATGATGTCATTCTACATAAAAAGACTTGAAACCTAATAGAAGATATGTAAAAATAACTACAGAAGAAAACATCTATTATTTTGGCTGATCATTTTCTCCCCAGCCCGATCCCCCCGAACTACTTACAATAAGAAATTGGCAAATGTATTGACTTTTATTTTGACTTATTTATAATAATATCACTTAGGTCAATATGAATATGGCAAAGACAGAGTATCTTAAAATAGGAGATGGTGAAGAAGATCCAGAGTTAGAAATTAGAAACACAAAAACATGCAATGAATATAAATATCTCGGATCTATAATATCTAAAGAAGGCACTACCAAAAGAGACATCGAAAACAGAACACAGCAGGGAAAAAAAGTGGTAAACATTCTAAACTCTCTACTTTGGTCTAAAGATATTAGACAAGAAACGAAATTGACAATCTATCGAACCTTGGTAGAGCCTATTATGACTTATGGGGCAGAGGTTTGGCAGATAACGCAGAAGGATAGAAAAAGAATAGAAGTAGTAGAAATGGATTTTCTAAGGAGAGCGTGTGGTATATCCAAAAAAGATCACATCAGGAATGAAGATATTAGAAGGAGGACAAATACTGTATATTCCAGTGTAGATAGAATTGAAACGAGACAACTAGTGTGGTATGGTCACGTGAAACGAATGAATGAAGATAGATGGCCAAAGAAAGCTTTAAATTACATACCACAACAAAGAAGAAGAAGGGGAAGGCCTTCAGTTGCCTGGGAAGAAAATGTACGGCAGATAATGAGAGATAGAGCCATCAGAGAAGACGAATGGATGGACAGAAAACGATGGCGCTTGAAATGCGAGAAACGGCAGAGGCTGTAGGAACCTCGCTTATATATATATATATATATATATATATATATATATATATATATATATATATATATATATATATATATATATATATATATCACTTAGTCTCTATTAAGAGTTGCTCATCTACGTTCTAGCATTTCTAATGCGTCTCGAAAGAAAAGTTGTTCTTCATATACCATGTCCTTTCAGAACGTTATTTATCATCATAGCTATCTTAATTTTATTCAGTTTCACCTTAAATAGCATGCTTGTATCAATACCATAACAATCTTGCAAATTCTTCAACCACGAAGTCTTTCTTCGTCCTGGACTGCGTTTGCCTGCTATTTGGCCTGCATAATATTTTGTAGCTTCTTCTTCTTCTTCCTTCTAGTATGTAGGCTTTAAAGCCTCTTTCTTCTTCAATATTAGCCTCCTTTAATTGCTTAAATTGTCGTACCATCTTTTTCTTGGTCTGCCAATACTTCTTCGTCCATCTGGTGACTTATCTCGTGCTATTCGTACTATTCTATCCTCTGCCATTCTACTAAAATGATCGTTCCACTCCTGTTTTCGTTTTGTCACCCATCCATTTATGTCTTCTATATTGCATGCTCTTCTTATGTTTTCGCTTCTCTCTCTATCCAACAGACTTCTCCCTGATATTCGTCGGAGCATTTTCATCTCTGTTGTTTCTAACAGTCGTCTCATTTTAGATGTGTCAGGTCTTGTCTCCGCCGTGTATGTTAATATAGGTCTAATTGCTGCTTTATATATTCTTGTTTTTGTGTCTTGTCTTAGGTATTTGTTCTTCCAGATTGTGTCATTAAGAGAACCCGCCACTGTCCCACGGACGCCAGATCACTATTCAAAATAATTAAATTACAGAAAACAACACTCTACACTTCACTAATGAACTGCTTCCAAATTAAAACACTTCGGCACAGGTATCCGAACGATTGTAAAAGAGAGGGGATCAAACGTCGGCGCATTTGTAGCATTCTACAAAATATGTTACCGCGACTCTACTAAAACATCTTCTTTTGCAAATAAGTCTAATTCAGAATTAAACTGATTTCTTTTCTACTCCTCTGTTAGTGTTTCTTTCACCAAAAAAATATCAGGCAATGAAAAATATCGTAAATGAATTATAGACTAATTTTTTGTGCCCGTATTTACTTATTTCATCGAAACAAATTATCTACTTTGAAAATCCCCGTGTATACAAAACCAACTACCTACAATAATAAATATTTACTCATAATTTTACTTCCTTCATTGTTAAAGTATAATAATATTTATTATCTAATCTGCTTATTGCTATATTGTTATCAGACGAACTGTCCGGTTCTTATATTTCATTGATAAGTTACTACAGAAATGTCTTGGTCATCATTAGCCACAATATGTTTTGCATCATTTGTTTAATATTGTCCGTGACTAAACAGTTTTCAAAAAGTTAGTGTCTCCGTTCGGATTTAGTGTTAAAAACTTTATAATGTGAGTGAAATACAGCCATTTTATATAGGTATGTTTGGTATAGTATTCTTAACTTCATAATCATTATAGTCGTAACTCGTGTTGTCATTAGCGTATCCTTAGCATATTATTATTATCGTTAGATAAATTGTGTTAAGTTGTCTTTATGCTTTGTGCTTTCGATGAATATTATATAGGTATTCTTTTTCATGTTGTTACAGTACGTTTTTTTTAAACTCGATTTGTGTGTTAAGGATGTGAACAGGGCCGGACTGGCTCAAACAAAAGGCACCAACCTTAATTCTAAACCAAAGGCGCCAGATCTCCCCTCTTATAAGCTTTTTAAATCAAACTTTTTAAAATCGTACTTTATGTAAACTATTTTTTTTTAAGTTTAATTTTGATTTAAATCCATAAACTTATCTAAACTTATTAAAATATCATCCAAGGCGAGAAATTTCTCTCTCTCCCTTATACTCCGTTATACTCATTTGAACTCTATGAATACTCTAATATATTTTATCTATATATTTTTATTTATATATTTCTTCTTAACGTGCCCTATTAATCCCCTATGTTGGCGATTAACATGGCGAATCTGTCTCTGTCTCGAACTATTCTAAAGAGTTGCTCAGCTTTCCTTATTCCTGTCCACTCCCTAATATTCTTCAACCAAGAGGCCTGCTTTCTACCAATTCCTCTGCGTCCTTCGATTTTACCCATCATAATAAGTTGAAGAATATTATATCGGTCTCCTCTTACTACGTGTCCAAAATAGGCCATCTTTCTACATTTTATGTTATCAAGCAACTCGCGAGCAGCATTTGCTCTCTCAAGGACTGCCACATTTGTCAGCATAGCCGTCCATGGAATTTTTAGTATACGTCTGTGCAGCCACATTTCAAAAGCCTCCAGACGATTAATGGTGGATATTTTTAATGTCCATGCTTCGACACCACATACGAGGACTGACCAAATGTAGCATTTAACCATGCGCTTTCGAAGTTGAAGTTGCAAGTTATCATTACAGAAGAATGACCTCATTTTTAAAAATGTCGTGCGGGCTATCTCGATTCTACATTTTATCTCTTGATCTGGATCTAGTTGTTCAGTAATATGGCAACCAAGATAATTAAAACTGGACACTCTTTGAATTATATGAACATCAACATATAATCGTGCATCTTGATGTGCTAAACGGCTAAACACCATGTGTTTTGTTTTTGAACAGTTTATGTTTAGGCCAAACTCTCTTCCCATTGTATCAATGTCATTTAAAAGGCATTGTAGTCCATTCATATCATCACTTAAAATAACTGTATCGTCTGCATTTCTGATTGTATTTATCAGAATTCCATTCGCCCCATTTCAAATTATGCAGCGCTTCTTTAAATATTCTATCTGAATATAAATTAAATAACAGTGGGGATAGTATACAACCCTGTCTGAGACCTCTTTGTATTTTACATATTTCTGTTGATTTTCCGTTTATGCAAGCTGTCGCTGTTTGACACCAGTATAACTTTTCTATGAATCGTATGTCTTGACTATCAACTCCTTTATCTTTTAATATTGTAATTAATTTGTGATGCTGTACTCGATCAAAGGCCTTTTCGTAGTCAATAAATACAGCAAAGACGTCTTTCCTTTAATCTCGACATTTCTGCAGTAATACATTTAGTGCAAAGAGGGCGTCCCGAGTTCCCAGTCCATTTCTGAAGCCAAATTGTGTTTCATCCTGGTCTTCTTCACATTTATCTCTGATTCTACTGTGGATGATGCGTAGAAATATTTTCAAAGTGTGGCTCATAAGGCTTATCATTCTATAATCGTTACAGTTTTTCGGACGTTTTTTTTTGGTAGTGTTATGAATTCGGACTTTAACCAATCTTCAGGAATATCACCAGTCGAATAAACATCATTGAAAAGCTTGACCAGTATTCCAATGTTCTCCTCATTTATAAGCTTTAACATCTCTGCCGGTATGTTATCAGGGCCAACGGCTTTTTTGTTCCTTGCTAACTTTATAGCATGCAGTATTTCTGGTCCTTCACCTTCAACTAAAGTCTCCAGTTCTTCGGGTCTATCATCATTATACAGTTCACTTATATAATTACACCAGGTTGTTCGAATTTCATGTTCGTCTATTATCATTTTTCCCGACGAATCAGTTATAGTATGTGGAGTTTTCTTATGATAAAGACCAGCTACTTCTCTAACTTTTTTAAACATATTAAACGTATCATGTTTTTCATTCAACTCCTCTACTTCCTACTTCCTTGCATTTATCCTCCATCCATTTTTCTTTAGCCACCTTTATTTTTTGTTTAATTAGTTTTTGTTTTTTCTTATATTCTGTCTTGTTACCTTTCAGTTTCCTTCTCTGCTCCATTAATTCCAGGATTTCATCAGTCATCTATTGTTGTTTTTTGTGCCTGTGTAACGTTGTTGATTATTTTTCTATTACTTTCAAGGTAAGATCTTTAAATGTGTTCCATATTTCTGTGTTGTTTTCAATTATTGGTTTCTTTAGCTTATTGTTTAAGTCATTTTCTATTAACGTTTTGTTGGATATTGAGATATTTAATTTTGGTGTTTTGGGGCTTTCTTGGACTTTTTTTATATATACTCCAATATTTAATTACTCAGACTCCAAAAGTCTGAGTAATTTTTTATCTGCTTCTACAGAAGAATATATTCGTAAAAATCATGCTGATTGGCTGTCAATAGTACTTCCTTTCTGAATCTGTTTAGATTTTGTAGAAAATTAAAATATTCAGAATCATTCACAATTGTCAATTTCCCCCCTTTGGATCAAATTCACCCCATTTTACGGTAGATGTTTAGACACATATCGCTAAGACAAAAGTGTCTCTAGTTGTGTTTAATTTATATAATTAACAACCTTGCTAAATTAGCATGTTTTGCTATTTCTTTTATTTATATATTTAGAGTTATGGTTAACGTAGTCTTATTGCGCAAATTTGTTGGCAATTTCTTCTAATGGTTAACGTAACACATCTATCTGCAGCAGGAGTTTGCAAGATTTTTGACGATAATATATCCACGCTTTTGAAGCTGATGTTTTTAGGCTTCTTATTTATGTTTTTGTAATATTTCGTACATTTCAAGTAATCTTGTTCTATTTATAAGCATGTGCTAGTTATTATCCACAAATATATTGTAGTATTTTTAACATGTTTGTATACATATCGTCAATTTTTAACTGTTATCTCTTGCCCTTGACCGAACCCATAATTGTTTTGATCAAGTAAACATGCATATGCAGGTGTCTATTATGTATTGAGTTAATTGCACTATTTTCAACTACAATCTGACCTAGACAAACTGGAGTTCAAGCAGTAGTACATTTTTTCTTGCTTACTGGAGTTTTTTTTTTATTTCAAGATTCTCCTTATTAAGTATACTAGAGATGTATGAAAAAAAAAATGAAAATGAAGATAAACATATATCTGTACCCAAACAAAAATAATTGTGTTTACAAATTGTTTGCTAATTAGAATATTATTTAGTCGAGTAGTAGATATAGTCGTAGTAACATAGAATCTATATTTTGACCGTTGAACAAGTGTATTTTCTTTATATTAGGAAAGTTCGCCGAAAAGTTTATTATTAAAATATGTAAAAGAAGAATCTTGGAATTCCGTGTCATGAATTTTCTCCATTTTGTAATTGCTCAGATCCCTAAATTTCCCTTTTTCCCTAAATTTAAATCCCTTTGGCATGCCATCTCTTTCGGCACCGGGTACCATTTACGTACTGGTTTATACACTAGGTGAGTGTTTTGAAAAATTCTGACCCGTTCTTAATAAATTCTGCTGGAAATTGTTGCTACTACTGCAGCTAGAAAAATTCTGACCCGTTCTTAAGAGCGTAGGCGCAAAATTTCGGGCCAATGCTTTTTAAATGCATTCATTTTTTTCGAATCCTGAGAAAACTAATAAATATTTTTGAAAAATTTATACGAAGAATGAAAGAATACATTATTACCAAGGGTCGAAAGTCGCTGAAAACTTCTATAATGTTTATTTTAATAAGTTACAGGGGTGAAAAAAAAGAGAAAATTAAGTGTGATTTTTAATGTCAAATATCTCATTCAAAAAAACTTTTTATTTATTCTAAGGGACTTTCGGCCCTCGGTAATAATGTAATCCAAGTATTTGTTAGTTTTCTCAGGATTTGAAAAAAAAAAATGAATGCATTTAAAATGCATTGGTCCGAAATTTTGCGCCTACGCTCGCTGGAATTTGCTTTGGTACTCCATTTTGAACTGTTTCATCACTTTTTTTATTGTCATCGCCAATGTTTATTGTTTTGTCTTTCTTCAATTGATATTTCGGTTGGCGAGGTTGCAAATTATTGTTACTCTTCTTTCAAATAACTTTATTCTATACTTATTTCTAAACTTATTTACAATACTTTAATAGAATGACAACTATAAACTTCAAAACTCAAAATACTACTGTTATAATCTGGCAACAACATATGTTTTTATATTTTTCTTACGTTCCAGACCTCACTAGACATTTCAGGATTTTTCATTGGCATCTGGAATATTCTAGACTTCTTCTTTTTTGTCAAGGAACTTTTTCTATGTGGGATAAATCTTACGGAACTTTCGTAACCCTGCTCATTCCTTTATAGTAATTCACATTGAATGACTGATCGTTTTACCATGTGATTACCACCAGGTATCACCTGGTCATAAATCTTACGGGACTTTCGTAATATCATTTATCTCTGTCTTTCGTGAGCAAATCTTTATAATGATTAATCCATTTTTTTGTAGGTATAAGTTGAATGTTAGCGCAATTGTTTCACTAGATCTGATTCTTTTTATGAATATTCCATGATTCCGAACATTTTCTTCAAGAAACCTAATCTAATCTAACCTACTATTTTCTTCGCATTTTTTGTCCCATATTTCTCTTCGCATTACTAGTAGTTTCTTGTATTTCTTCTGTTTAAAAGTAATGTTCTCTAACATCTTCTGTTTGTGTGTCAACCCGTTTTAGGTACCATTGTTTCTTATAAGTGATCAACTCTTCTTTATCTTGGGTCCACCAAATGTTATTGCTGCAATATTGACACCAGATTTTACATATCAAATTAATTTATTTTCAGAACGAAAAACAGTATCAACTGCAGCTAGAAAAAGAGCAGTACTATAAGTTAATGATAGAAAAAGAGCAGCACTACATAGACCTTCTACGCAGCCAAATAGCTTCTTCTACTTCTCCGGACGAAAAGAAGTGCCAGGAATTACTTAAGACGGAGAAAAATCTCCATACATTGCGGGCGATGTTACAACGGAATCAAAGTGAGGTAAGTTCTAAAAAAAAAAATGAAACTACGTGTTTTACTAAGGATGAATATGTGATCATGTGCAGTAGCGACTTTAGAGCTGTATGTATGTCTGTGTGCTGGTAATGAATGATTTGCTTTACTTCATTGAGTAGTTGTGGAATAATATCTGAGTTGAAATCTATGCTGTTATGCAATTTGATTAAATATGTTCACAATATTAATTTAATAACAACTGACAGTAATTTTGGTGACTCTGACCTTTTCCAGCTCAACTGTTTTAACATTTATTCATGGATTAATGGTGAGAGGAGAATTCTTTGTACGAAAATTGTCCCTAAGAAATATGTTTCCGTTTTTAATTTGTACTTTAACAAGAGAGCTTAAAGCACTTGTTTTCCCGAATGTCATTAATAAATGGAATATGTGTTTCAATGCACTTTGAAGTTCTAGTATTGTGCTATCTAAAGTTCGTACAAAATGCCAGTTGCCAACTTCGAAGAATTCTGATATGACATAGAGAAGGAAGAAAAATATGCTTAAGTAGTAAAACTTTGAATTAATCTCTGAACATGTTCTGGGCGAAGAGAACCACTACTACTAAGTGTTTTCTACCAGTTCAAATGAATCAAGTTTTAAGATAAATGAAAGAGATAATCAGTAAATTGTTCCTCAGAGTGCAAATACAAAAGACGCTTTTGTATGTCTTCTTTTCAATATACATAATTTATAATACACCTACGGGAACTTTTAAAGACCATTGCCTCATTAACTATCGTAGAAAATATGTGACTCACAATAAACTAAGAGATAAACCAAAGTAACGACGTTGATTCCGAACAGCAACAGACTGATAAAAATTCAGCGTAGAGAATTGCAATTTAGAGATTGTGAAAAAATTCATGTGCACACTCTCCTTCTATCTAAATAATGGAGGAAATAAAAATCGGTAATATTAACGAAAATGTTTCTTTGGATAAGCAAATATCGAAAGAACAAGAACTTGGCAAAAAAAACAAAATAACAATAATCACTACTACCAGTGCCGGTATATGGACTGAAATAAGGAGTATTTCTAAAACGGATCGTCCCCTCTTCTTAGATTTAAAGATTTTAAGAGTACATGGTGCAGCCTGTGAGAACAGCAGCTGAAGAAGGCGATATATCTTTCAAATATAAGAATATAAGAAATATAAATAAATGACAGAATTCAGGGATGTAGTATCCTTCACAAAAATAGGCAGGATACACGGGAAAGACACCTGTCCAGAGCGAATAAAAGCATCCAGAAAACTCCTATTATTATTGCTTCTGGGAAATAGAAGTTGTGGCAATCCAGGACCGAACTGGAAGGATGAGGAACGTGAGGATGATTGTCAACAGTTGGCAATGGAGAGGAACGACTAGCGAAATAGATTAGTGAAGGTCGGGGCTCAACTAGTGCTGTAGTACCAGATGATTTATGATAAGATCTAATTGAGGGAGATGATATTACCGATTAAAAAATCTGCTTGGAGAGTGTAACACCAATACAAAACATATGTCGACAGTATTAACAATAAGTAGAGGGTATACAATTAGCACTGGAAGATGACACTTTAAAACAAAGTTCTAAATTTCATTTTTTTTTAATGACAGTTATTTCACAAACATTTTACACGAATAAATGTTTGCCTGCAGATAGCCAGTTAAAAAAATATTCTTTGTTATGCATTGGTTTTGGAATTGGATTGGTATCATTTTTGGATATTTTCTTAACGCTTCTGATAAAACCTAAAATCACAATAAAATTATTTATTATGAATCATAATTAAAAAATAATAGTTTTGAAGAAATTATTCGTTGTTATTTAGAATAAAACAGGCTTCAGCTCAGATATTTAGATAAAAAATGCGTTGGTTTAGTAAGATGTCATCACGTTCATCATAAATCTAAATACCTTTTGAATGAAAAGTGAAAATACTGGTTATATAAGATGTGTTGGCGTTAAAAACAATAATTAAGTTAGCAAAATAGGAAAAGAAATACAAACAATTAATTAATGGAAAGCTACAGAAACACATCTATTAATATTTAATCAGATTGTGCAAAAATAGGCCCAGAAATATTATAGATATACCTACATTTAACATTGTTGATATACAAAAATCAATTTGGTCCATAACTTGCGTCTTAATTTTTTTAGAAACTAATGGATAAGAGGACAATCAGAAGCAAAACACATTCATTCATTAAATTTGCCGATGTTTCTGTGCGTCTTTTGGAAGGCCTTTTAACTACTACCTAACGCATAAGCTTTCGTGGTTAAAACGTTGGTAATTGAATGAATTAATATATTCTTTTAATTAATCTTATCCAATAGGTTCTAAAATAAGTCAGTGGTAATGATGTTCCCCTTTTTCTTTGGTTTGTTAGCGAATCTTTCTACATATACTACATGTTTCTTTTGATTTGACAGTTTCTCCGTGAATCTCTCGTGTGCCAAACCTATATATTAATCTATGTACACCTTATTTCCATAGATTTTGATTAATGTAATGTTACAAGCTTTTAAATAATGAATTTCTGCGGTTTCAGTGTCTTATGCCTGTAGAAATTAAGGCCTTGTAGGTTAAAATCTCTAATCGAAAATACAACTTTCTCTTCAACTTTTTCTCCTAAGAGACTGACTGCTCCTTTATATTTTCGTTTTTCGTTCCTGTATGCACTTGACCTCATCTAATATAACCTGAAAACAGATATACAGAGAGATAGAGAATATCTCCCCTGTTGCCGACCATAATATAGCTTCGCCTATTTTAAATAATTTTAAACTGTTTGTCTTTGTGTAGTGGAGTGTGATGTTTAATTTGATGTTTTTAACGTTTTATTCTTGTTGGATAGGCCACAATTGACGAAATGCCATTGAAGGTGCTCTAGGAAGCGAAAGGCAAGATTTAATTAATAAAACTGCTCGATATCTGCCTTTGATTTGATCAAACTTAAATTAGTGATTCATTGTTTTCCGTGTTGTTTCCAAGGGCGATGCTGCAAAATTCATAATTTTATATCACTTACTAATCATGTTCCCGAATAGTTATATTTTTTAAGTTCCCACAGGCTCTATCGGTTGGCTCGAATCGGTATTGGAATTTTCGATGCATCTATGGGGAAACTTTGTACTTCGTAGCGTTGAGATCCATATCGTGTCCAGAGGTCTAATGGATTAGTAGCATGTGTTTTTCGAGTGCCTTGTTAGTCACCAAAAAGTGTTTGTCATTTGCGGTATAGTGCCTCGCAATTACGCAAGCTTTGATTGACTGTTTCATGTTCTCTGCTACGGAGTCTGCAACCAAAGTCTCTAAGAAACAAATCCATTATGGAGGTGTCCCTTGACTGGTAAAGGACACTTACCAGTTCACCACTTACCACTTAGTTTTTTTCCAAAAAGGGAATTATTCTGAGCTGATTCCTGCTTATTTTTAGCAGTACTACAACCTTTTAGCGCATGTTCCTCCAATATACACTTTGCCATGTGCTTAACTAGGTATACTTTCTCAACAAGATTTACACTCCTATAACTGGCACCGGTCCAAAGTATTTTGTAGCTGATTCTCTTCGGCAATTTCATCAACTCTTTCATTGCCATGTATTGCTTGATGACCTATATCAGTGTGATAACATATCAGTGTAACACAACTGCTGAATATTTCTACACCCGACCCTTCTGCAGTTTCAAACAGAGTTATGTGTTTCCTCTGTCCCATCCCTCTCGTAGGTAGATGTCCATCAGGAAAGGTAATTTAGACCCAGTATCTATGCCCCATATGGTAGTGTTCTGCCATAGACCATACTCGCCTACCCTTATTACGATTTGCAGAGGAGTGAAGTGCAGTAGGGCCTCTATAGCTGCTGTTGGTGTGCCTCTCAGAGCCTCTGTAATTCCAAGGAAAGCAAGTCTGTCACCTTGCTTAATGTAAGAATGGTACTTTTTTGCTGCACCTTTCACCATCATACCACTGATGCATATTTGATTGTTGGTTTTATTATCATTTTATAAGTCCAATATAACTCTGGTTTAAACGCCACATTTTTCCATGAGTGCACCTGGCTACGATTAAGGTACATACCTAAAATGCAGACCTTTTTCTTTGTAATTAAAATTGATCGGCGGTTTTTGGATTTCTATGGCCTCCCTGGCTCATCTTTATATAACCTGCGATATCGCCAATATTTTATTAGTTTGATCCGTTACTTTTTTAACATTAGCTAAAAAACTCTACCTTTAGGCTCGTATTGTCGATTTTCCAGTTGCATGTTTTTGAACGCATAGATCCTTTAAAGAAGTATAAACGTTCTATTCCAACGTTTATTCTAAATTCTTCATATCTTATTACAAGCATTTAGGTTTACATGTTCAGGTAGTACAATTTTACAATCAGGTTGTGATTTATCTCTTTATGTTTAGGATGATGATTCGAGCTGTTCTACAACACATCAGTGTGCGTTAGTTTTTATAACATCAGTCTGTTTGTTTTTTCCTAATTGTGTGGTGACTCAGATCTTACGATTTAGGGAATTTAGCAACTAAGAAATTAGTAAGTTCTTCTTTCCCTATGGCTAGAGATTACAGAAGTGTCATTCGCATAACGGAACTAATACTTTATCTGCTAATTGTAGGGTTGTTGCTTCAATTTTTCATGAAACCGTTTGCTATTAATGCGTCAACGGATTTTCCATTGCAATCCTGTCAATGTGTTCGAAACATCGGTCGTCTTACTGGAAATATATTGTGATAAGACAATAACCAAAATGGTTCTGAGAAATGCTGACTAATGAACTGTAATTACTCACCAATTGGCTCCATGGTAAACAGTGGAACTATGCAGAAGTTCACTATATTAGTTAGTATATAATTGCGATGTTAGTACGATATCCGTTATTTTTCAGATAAAACTTATAGAATCCGTAAGGTAAGTTTCAGGCTAGTCAATGGGTGGTTTTATTTAGCACAGTTGTTAGATATTTGGCGATGTCGTATC